GAGAGGAAGGGAACAGGAAAATGGGAAGACAGGGAGGCACGACAGGGGAGTGCTCTCTCTACCTCCAGCGATCAGTATTAATAAGTTACACCCCCACCCCACACGGCTTTCACTAAGTTTATGTAACATGCAATTTTGCTCCCGGCATGTGGCCTCAAGAATTTCTCTGTTCACCTCAGCGCTGTTGTGAGATCCACTTCAATCTGTTTTAGTCACTGCCACTAAATTGAGTTTGAGGATTCACCCATTTTTAATTCCACAAATTAAAATTCCCTTCACGTCCAATATTCTGAGATGTCGGCAGAATCTTAAAGGTTACATGTAGGATATTCACTACTGCTAGATGTCACACTAGTGCCAGCATCTCAAACCAAAACAAATGCCACATCTACGCACCCCTTTGTGTTCTCAGTGTCTGTACCTCTAAATACACAACCAGAGGAACAACTGAATAAAGTAAGAAAATATTGAATTGTTAAGAACAGTGTTACAAAACAGCCGCTGCATAACAAATAAAAAAATAAGATTTAGAAGAAAATGCTCTAGTTGAAGTAAAGCCAAGGTAACAAACAACCACAATTCAGAATGCAAAGATTGTACTCAGAGCCTCTTGGGTAGAATCTGTCTCTAAAGTTCATCCTTGGATTATATTTATCTCTGTTTCTCTTGAACCTGATAGAAGAGAAGGAAAGGAATTGTCCATTTTTGTGTTACAGTGTTGAGCTGCAGCGACGCATTGCCTCACCTCGCACTCTGACATCCTTGGCATCCTGTTGTGCGAATTTATCAAACTATTGCAGGAGGGTTAACACTCACCTTCACATTTTGCTGACTCAGCACAAATGGAGCAGATATAGGCAGTCGTACTGTACTCACTCCCTCTCACTGCCAGCATTGCTGCTGAGCCAGCAGAGCTGTGTGTGTGTGTGTGTGTGACTGTGTGTGTGTGTGTGTGTTTGTTCTTTAGTCCTTGTGAAAAATATTTACTGTTCTAGAGTGTGAGGTAATCTCGAGTGAAGGAATTTACTCAAGGAATTTGTCTCCCTGGGAGGACATTCAGAAGAGGGGGGACAGCCTGTAGTATTGCCGTGGTGACATGATCAGTCTTTAAATGTAGCTTTTAAAGGACACCACCCCTGAATTGGGACAGGGTCATAGCTCGTGGTAATTCTGAACAGGAAGACAGAACAAAGAGGTTTTGTTTTACTTCTGTTTGGGATGAAAAGTCTGATACAAGGTAGAAAACTAAACTTTGCAAATAGTGTTTCAGATCAGTCGCCACAACAGATTCACCGCTAGCCTCTTTTACCACCCACATAAGAATCATGTACAGTGCAGAGAGAGTCTGTGGATTACAGCCACAAAAGAACAGTTGAGTGCTCTAAACAAAACCCAGATTCAGATGTTGGAGGAGGATTTCGCCAGCAGCACAACATATGGCAAAGTATCATGAAGATGGAAGGAGATAAAGGCTGCTGTCATCTCGACTTACATCTGCAAAGACATGGCCACAATTCACAAAGTAAAATGATATCGTGATATGTGTCCTTATCTGGATGTGAACTGCCACATATCAAGATACAACATTTTATTCATGTTGCACAGCCTCATATCTGGACAAAGGAGTACATGTTGAATAAGGAGTCATTTGCGACTGCCATGTTATTCATTCCAAATATTTATGCTTTGGAACATGTTTTCTAGCATATTGTTTGATAAATTAAACTTTACCAGCATAAATATATATGTCTCTATTTACATTTTTCTTTTGGCGAGTATTTGTGTGCATCTGCTGCGAGAGGCAGGATGTTTGTAACTGTGTCTGCCCTCTGATATTGAAACAATTCCTCCTCCATATGGGTAGACGAGATAAAAGAGAATGGATATAATAAATGATGGTGTTCAGTTAGGAAAACACTATTGTATAGTAATATATACTTATTATGTAAGTGTAATAGTGTGCCTTATTAACAGGGCCAATCATTTTTAATGTGAGACTTTATTGCTCTCCTTGGTGTCAGTACTGGGTTAGATAAACACAGTCTGCCTGTGTTTCATATGTTTGTATGCAGATAAAGATCTTTCCTTCTCTTCACACACACACACACACACACACACACACATAGAGTCTGAAATGAACATACAAATGTAGCGATTTATCTCAACAAGACCACAGTCAGTTATTAATGAAAACTGAGCGCTCAAAGCAGTAATTACTCTGTCTGTGGTTACATTTTAATTACAGCTTAGTCTGGTGTTGTCTGAAGTGTGTGTGTGTGTGTGTGTGTGTGTGTGTGTGTGTGTGTGTGTGTGTGNGTGTGTGTGTGTGTGTGTGTGTGTGTGTGTGTGTGTGTGTGTGTGTGTGTGTGTGTGTGTGTGTGTGTGTGTGTGTGTGTGTGTCTCTCAGGATTCTTATCGTACACTCACACTAACACACTCCTTGGCTGTAACACAATGACCACAGCTCCCAACCACCTGCTGTTGTGTTAGAACAGAGGGACAGACGAGAGTGAAGGCTCCATGCTTTCGTCTTTAAATTGTATGTTATATTTCCACATTGAGAAACCGTGAGTCACTTTCATATTAGTAGCAAACAGCATGTATTGTTATTTGGACAGTTTAGTGTGTTAAACTGATATTGTGATGTCCTTGTTACATTTTCCTCATGTTAATAGGTTGTTAATAGAAACATTCAGTTTTAGCTTTATGTGAAAATTGATACCGTTCTCATGTTGTATTAGCTTAGCAGGAAGCCTGGATACAGCTAACCTTTACACTGCGCCTCTCTTGAGGTTAATCCATACAAATACTTAATCATTTGAAGGTAGATTGTGTCCAACCACTGACTGTAGATAAAGATGGACGACATGACAGCTCCTCGAAGTGAAGCCAAAGTGTCTCAATCACCACTTGGTGGAATAGGTCATAAAATCCTGCCTTCACAGGTTAGTGGATGGGACATGAACCAAACTAAACAAGTCGAAGTACAACTCAAATAAATTGTCTTATCACACTGATTCTGCGAGATTTCTAAAGACAACAATAAGAGCAGACATTCATCGACCCCAGCTCTCAGGTGAGGGGCTGAATCCAAAGGAGCATTGGAGGAAGATAAGCACAATGGCTGACATGTTTACACGATATGTCTGATCCCTGAATGATCCAGGGAGAGAGGGGAAAGATGGCCCTTTATGTTAATACACTGTTGCTATAGCCATCAGAGTGATCAGAGTGGCGCTCAGAGCTCCTCTCGACTGGTACTCCACCTTGATGCTTTTCATGCAGCAGGGAGATTTATGTGTGCCGTTCCACTGTCTCGTCCCATTGTCTGTTTCGTTCTTTCTGCACAAACAGGAATCTTTTTAAATATAATTATGATTTGTACAATAACCTGCTCCTTCTATTAACGGTCTGAATGTCATGACGTCCCCCACTCTTTGTCTCTCGTGTTCACAGATGAATTGAAGACCTTACCTTCAATCTCCTTTTAGCTAAAGTTCATATTTGTCCATTGCTGAGGGAAATGTTTTTTTGGCAGCTAAATGTTTGCTATGTTCACCAGGCAGTCACTACATTTTACAGAAGGGGGTCCATGGAAAATGTCATAGTGAGCCTGTGTGAAAATACGGCGAGTGAGAGGGTGTTTCAAACGTATTTGGAAGATTACAAATATCTCAGAATAAAAAAGAGGTGCCACAAGATTTGAAAGCTTTTGGCGATAAGGGCAGACACCAGTGTCAATTTCCTGTAGAAACACAGTATTTCCACAGCAGAATTTATACGTCATGTAATGTCTTCTACATGCTCCACCCAGGTGGCTTTCCTCGCCTGAATGTTCCAGGAATTTTCCAGTTGCAGAGAACATGTCTGACCAGGACAATCCCTTGCTGACATCAGAGAAGCTGGAACGAGAAATTGGCCTTTTTCCTCAATTGACCGATGGATCTTCTAATCGTTTCTGCTCTAAATTTGTGTGTGACTGAAGACAGGTTCCTCCTCTGTTACGCGTGGCCCGTGACTGTGTCACTGCAGCAGAAAAATCATGTCAGACTCCAACAGCTGTTCAGTCAGAAAACACCGCCATCAACATTCCTGCTGGGAATACTTTATGGCTGCCCTTTGCTTTTTCTTTCATGGTCGGCAGATGGAAAAATCTGGCATTGTCATACAAGTTACAACCTGAGCTTGTTTACTGGTGCACACTGACTTTTTTTTTTCCACTGCACTATCACGTTTCTCTTCTCTCCATTCCTTGCTTTTTGTGGATGAATGTGGAGACTGAAGTAAACGTCCCACCCGGCAGTCCTCATCTTTTTTTCCATTAGCTTAACATAGCTGTCCGTGTGTGTGTGTGTATGTGTGAGGGTATCGATTTCCTTAGGTCGGAAATAGGCCCACAAGCAGTCGGAAATCTCCGTCCTGGAGCGATCTCCCTCCAGTGTTTGTCGTTTTCCAAATGTATGGAAAATAGTTACGGCGTGACACCTCTCCTGTCTGCCAAGCGACCAAGAGTGACATTGTCATTGGGCCAAGTGGGTCAACCAGTGATGAATGAAAGATTGTGGCTATTGACAGATGTGTCACCCAACTGTGCACTGATGCTGCTGTTGCTCGTGTTGTGCTGCTTGACTTGATATGAGATCTATGCCACTATGCTGCAGACAGCTTTTAATCCCCCAGCTTTTTTTCGCTATGGTGACTGTCCCCAGGTGTCACGACCATATGTTGAGAGCGGTAATCCTGTGATCTTTCTGCGTTTATTTTTACGGCAACTATAAAATTATACCGTTGAGTCAACTGTTGGACTTAAAGCAAGAACGTATTCTTTCCATTCAAAGCTCCTAATCAGAGCTGCACCAGAGACCCACACATTTAAGGACCGTTTGTTGCCATAGCGATGTTAATATGTCACGATGACTTCCTTCATCTGCCTCGATCATCCCCCATTTGATCTCAGACTTCCCCATTTTCTCTTTTTTTGTTACCTGTCTGTCTTTTAGTACCGGATCGGCCAGCTGTATATGATCAGCAAACACAGTCATGAACAGAGTGAACGTGGAGAGGGGGTGGAGGTGGTGCAGAACGAGCCGTATGAGGACCCCGAGCACGGATCAGGCCAGTTCACTGAGAAACGAATCTACCTCAACAAGTGAGTCTTCCTCTTACCATGCACCGCATGATTAATTTAATCAAATAAATCATTTCTGTGATGCATACATTTGTTTTTTATATCATTCACCACAGGAGAAACACACAGAAAACGTCAAAGCCAAATCCTGCTTAAAACTTTCATTCTATTTTATTTTGTTTCTTAAAAATCATCAGCATTTCATCGCAGGTCAAAGTTCATTACACAGCAGCTTATAAAGCTGCCATAGGAGTGATTTGACAATGGCGGCTTTTCACTGCATGGCTGTCACAGCAACCATTGGTGATAACACAAAGATTAGCCATTGGTAAGATGTCTAATGATGCTTTCAATCAACATCGGGAAGCAGTCCTTTATAATTGATGTCATATGAGCAAATATCAAAGCTGCACTATAATCATTGCTGTTGTGTTTCAGGAATAAGAAGGGGGGGGGGCAGTTAGGTGTCTCTTTTCATCTCTGTTCAAGTCTTTTTTGCAGCTGCTACTGTAGCTGGCCCTGCTTTGTTAAACTTGATAAGTGTGAAATTGAATATTTGATTTTTCTGTTATGTATATTAAAATTAAATCAGTCTGAATATGTGATCTCCTCACTCTCTAAATGAATTTCCTCTGAATGCTCTGAAACCCTTATTACAATTTTTTTTCTGTGCAGCATAAAACAAAATTGCGTACATTCAGCTTCTCTAATTGACTTAATTTAATTCATATGATGGATATTTAAAGTAACCGCTCATGAAGTGAATCCAGGTGACGGCCTGGGTTAACACTTCTATTTTCCTTATTATACCTACAGTGATTGAAAAGGGCAAGTGTACAGTAATTGGTTTTAAATAGTAGCCTGCAAGTTAACATCAGAGATACTGTTTTTTTTTACAAAGGTACACCTGCAAAAAACCTGTAGAACACCTGGATAACACCTGGAGCACCCAAGGGGCAGAGCAGTTGTAGAGCAGTGTATTTAACGGTGCAGGTGTACCTGATAAAGCAGACACTGAGTGCATACTGTGCATAGACATCATCTGAAACCTACATTATCATGCAGACTTTAAATGTCTCTGGTTTTTGTTCCTGACCTGAACAAAAACCATTTTAATCTCAGCTGTATTTGGTGCATTAATCACTTCATGGCTTACATCTACAGCAATAATTCATTTACCTCTCTGTCAGTCATTCACTGTATGCCTATCATCACCCACTCCAATAAGTCCAATAAATCCACAACCAAACAGTCGGCAGGAGCATAAAACCATCAATATGGCCAACTCCAATCAAAGTAATGTAATTTGAAGCTATTGATCTCCATAGAGGGCTCAGAGCTGCAAGCAAAGACCTGCACTTCAGCTCATATGGGCTCATATGGTTTCTTCCACTCTATGAGAGCATGAGATGATAGTAATGCATTGCTTTAT